CAGTCGGCGGGGCCTCGTTCCAAGACATCGTTAACAAAGTCACTGCAGCCAATTGGTTTGAGACGGCTCCCACGAAGGCTCCCGCGATCCGACGCAAGCTCGCATCTGTCGGTCGGCTCCACAAACGCGCAAGGGGATACCGTGCGGGAGACGCAGTACTCCTACGTGGGTTCACCAGACCCGGCGATCAGCAGAAACGACCTGTATCCTCCAGCGTTCTCGCGGCCGTGCGCGCCGCCCTGGATCTCCAAGACGACGGCCACCGCGTGCTCTGGTGTGCTACGGTCTTGGCTTTCCATTTTCTATGGCGACGGTCCGAGTACCTCGCCATCAACGGCAGAGTGCACAAGAACGTGATCGCGTTCGGCGACATCTGCTTCTTGGACAGTCGCGACCAAGTGGCCCGTCATTACGAGGACGTCGTCGCTGTTCAAGTGCACATCCGCGGGTCCAAGACCGACGAGGCCGGTCGTGGCGTACTTCTTCGCGTTGGGCCGTCACCCACCGCTTGGCTCTGCCCCGTCGCCACCACGTGGATCCTGCTCCGCCGTGCACACGCGCTCCAGCTCGCTCCCAAAGATGCTTTGTGCTCGCTGTCGGCGTCCGCCGTGCTCACGTGCAACGACATGTCGCAGGCAATCAAGCGGGCCGCCACAGCTTGCGGCGAGGACCCGCACGAGTTCTCTACACATTCACTACGCAGTGGCGCTTTTACGCGGTGGCGAGCCCGATCTCGCTGTCCAGAAGTTTGGTCGATGGTCATCGGACGCCGACAAGTGCTACGCAAGGATCGACGAGCAAAATATCAACGGCGTCTCTGCTCGCATGGTCCCAAACGCATGGCGCAAACTCTAGCGGGCACCACCTCGCCCCCCACTTAGCAAGCGGGGCACCAATGCATTCGTTACCTCCACAATCTACCCCCCCCAATCTACCCCCCCAATCTGCTCGGCTGTCTGCGAGGAGCGTCAACATGCAATATCCTAGCACGACGAGGATCGAACCCCGTCCCTGAGCCAAATCTATTTTTAGGTGCCACCTAGTGTTTTATGTGGGAAACATGGCCAACAATTTACACGTGTGTGCGAAATCAACCGTCGCAGCACATATATATATGGTCGCAGCATGGTACGGGAAAGCAGCTTCGGAGCATCAGCGTAGCGAGGCTGGAGCTATTGCTGACGTCGTGCCTCGTCCTCATGCTTCCAGTGTATCGGCGCCATCGTCTTCGATGCTTTTGCGTCGTTTCTCACATGATGTGGAAAATACACATTTTTCACATAAGTCCGGCCCGATTCCCGGACCGGCAGCATCTTCTTCTTCGCCGGCCATGGTCGATCCGACGAGCATGGGCATCATGGGCGTCGCCGAGGAAGACGAGATCCGCGGGCTCTTCATGAACGCCCACCTGAGCGACGTGCTCCTCCTCTTCCCTGCGTCCGGCGGCGCCGACGCGGCCATGAGCGTGCCTGCCCACCGGCTCTTGCTCTCGCTGCGCTCGGGCGCCTTTCGCGCCGCCTTCCTCGACAGCTCGACGAGCATCACCAACATCGCGACCGGCGCCAAGCGTCTTCGCCTACCACTCAAGATCGTCGTCCAAGACACCTCGTACGCCATCTTCAAGGAGCTCCTGCGCTATCTCTACACGGGCAAGATTCAGGCGACGCCTGCGTCGGAGAGCTTTTGGCTCGACTTACTCCAGGCCGCCGCTCGGTATAGCATGAAGCTCTGCAAATCAACTGCTTACGGTATCGATATGTAGGTACGACGTTCCACGATTGTGCATCTTGTGCATCGAGGCCGAGTCGCCCAACCACAAGCTGCACCTGATGGAGATCCTCAACATGGTCGACTCGGACGTCTTTCACGCCATGAACAGCGCAAGCCCGGTACACTGCGCCATGCATCGCCTTGTCGACGAGTGCATGCGCACCATTATGACGATGCCAGACACCGAGATGCAGCAGTACGCGCCGGCTTCGTACCCTCCATGCATAATCACCAGCTGCGTAGGCTGCTGCAGCTCGCGCAATGCTCCACCGAACGTCTTCTCTCCATCTACCGGCAACGCACCAACGTGCCTCTCGTCCTCGCAATCCAGCACCAAAACCTCCGCGTTGTCGATGCCCTCTTGGTCTCTACAGCTATTGCGCGCGCCATTTTTTACTCATGATTCTTGTAGTCGACCGAGACGGACATGGCAGCGCTGCTCGGTCAGGCGAACGACGCTGGCGTGCTTCCGCTGGTGGCCGCGCTCCAGACGCAGAACGAAGCCATCCTCCGGCGCGTGCTCGGGCTCCCGACACTCGATCACATTCTCATGGAAAACAGCATCCAGGGCTGGTTCCTCATGGCCTGCGCAAGCGGGAACCGCCTGCACTGCGAGCTGCTCGTGCGCGACCACGGCGCAGACGTCAACCTCATTTCGACGCTCGCCGACACGCACGCGTTTGGGCGCCAGCAGACACCGTTGCACATTGCGAGGTAGTAGTCTGCCATGCCGTGTAAGCTGAGCCTGTCCTACTACTGTAGTCATTTTGGGCACGTGGCCATTGTAACGTATCTATTGAGCTGCAACGCCGTGCCCAACTTTCAAGACTGCGACGGCAACACGCCGCTGCACGTTGCGAGCACCGTCGTACGTAGCATATCTGCAATCTCGTACACGCTGACAGTGGTGGAGGCGGTCGCCGAGGCGCTCGCCGACAAGTGCAACCCCAACATCCCCAACATGCGTGGCCAAGTGCCCATGCACGTCGCTGCGAGCCGGTACCTTTTGTCTCCTACGGTGACACTGAGCCCATGATAGCGGCGACATTGGTATCGTGAGCCTTCTCTTCCAACAAGGCGCCGACCTCGATGTCCTCGACGACCAAGGCCAAGTACTGGAGCTGCGTGTGATGCTACGGCGCACATAATGACGATGTATGCGTAGACGCCTTTTCATATGGCGGCCGCCCACGGTCATGCATCCGTGGTTCTTATCCTGCTCAAGCTTACGGAAGATCGTGCAAGCGAGGTCAGTGCGACCCCGGACGACCCGGAATCGCCGGGGACGCCCCGTCCATCGTTCGATATCAACGCCGTCGACTACAAGAGTGCGTGGCCGTCGCTTGAGGAGACTAAGCTGACTGTATCCAGACAACACGGCGCTCAATTTGGCAGCGATGGCGCCGAAAGACCGATGCGAGAAGATTCTTCAAGTACTGCTCGAGAATGGAAGCGATCCGAACGTGGCCAACTGGTTTGGTGCGATCCCACGCCATCGGCAACTTGTGCGATGCTTGACGTAGGCTACACGCCGCTGCATACATTCTGCGCGCATCACACGGGGCCTGTCTCTGTCATTGATATGTTTGTACGCCGTCCTTGTCGAGAATGTCGATGTCATGCGACGCGTGTAGCGGGAACACGGCGCCGACATTCAAGTGCAGAGTCTTGACGGAAGCACACCTTTGCACTTGGCCGTAGGGACAGCCAGTGAGGCGATTGCAGTCGCTCTTGTGCGGGCGGGGGCTCCCGTCTACGTCCAGGACCTCGTCGGTACGTAATGATGGTTTTTACGAGTGAGGCATGCAACAGAGTTCTTGCACTGTACTAGGCCGCAGCGTCGTCAACCTCGCAGAAAGCACGTCCCAAGGCGTCATGGTGGTCCCAATCCTCAAGAACGTCAACGTGCCGCCGCCGTGGGTGGCCGATGACACGGTCGTCGAGTGCATGTCGTGCGGCCAATCGTTTGGCATGGCCATGCGCAAGCACCATTGCCGCCACTGCGGCCGCGTGATCTGCTACCAGTGCTCGTCCAACCGGATTCTGCTGCCCAAGTTTAACCAACCGTCGGCCGCGCGCGTCTGTGACGTGTGTTTTGACGTGCTCTCGTTCCGAAAGCTCATGTAACAAGCACGCTTGAGTATGCGGCGTGTGGCAAACCCTCTAAAATGGACGGCACGTGCACTGCACGTACAGGCTACTGTCTCTGCAGCTGCCGATCAGACACCAAGGGCACTTCAACGTCCTACTCTCTCGCTTCGTCCCACTTCCTACTGCTTGCGTGTTTGGTGCACCACGATGCCTTGTCTCTGGTCGTTGGGATGGCATCCAGTGTGGGTGGTGTCGAGGCCGCACAGATTGGTATCGACACCTCGGGTTCGGCATCGCGCGAGCCACTTTTTGGTATCAATCTGTCAAGCTTATCCAACCGGCGGTCGCCTTCCATCACCCGCAACGATGGTGCGACCGACGACCGATGCGGGATGCGGGTGTGGGAGGCAAGCGTGTCCTTTGGTCGTCACGGTACGTGAACCTGATGGACCAGAGCGACGGACCAGATCCCTCTTTGCATGCGATGGGGCCGTAAAAACAACGAGCGGGAGCACAAGATACTCGTCACATTTGAATCTCAAACCCAATTTTGCAGTTGAATATTTCCTCGATGCTCGCAACAACGTGGTGGCGCGCGGCAAGCCAAGGCGACGTCGACGGCCTGGACCGTGTGCTGGCGCTTGAAAGCAACGAAGACTGGCTGCATCAAAACTACTATGGCTACACGGCGCTGCATCTCTGCGTCTGGGGTGGCCACGTCACAGCAACGGCATTTCTCTTGGGCGCTGGCGCCGACCCAAATGACTGTGTGCACAAGCCTTCGGACGTTCGCGTGCATGGCATCTCACCGCTGCACTTGGCGACGCGCGATGGTCACGCCGACGTAGTGCGTCTTCTTCTGGCGTTTGGCGCTGCAGCCGACGAGCGCTTCCTCGGTCGCACCCCGCTGCAAGTCGCGTCCGAGTATGGGTACTTCGAGATTGTCGAGCTGCTCGTGCGTCATGGTGCCGCCATCGACGCTCAAGATATGGTCTTTATTCGTGTACACTCGTATTTTTCTTTCTCACGCCGTGTGTCGCTAGGACGGCCGCAGCAGCTTGCACAGCGTGGCCGCGTGGGGCTATGCGCGGGTCGCCCGGCTCTTCTTGGACCATGGTGCTAGCGTGCATCTTTTTGATGCGGTATTTGACGTAGTCCAAGGCATGGTTTTCATCTCTTTTGTGTGGAGTAGAAGGGCACCAGTGCGCTGTTTGCGGCTGCGAAAGGCGGCGATGCTACCACGACGACGCTCCTTCGTCGCACGGGCGCACGCTTGCACAATGTCCAGTCGCCGGTACGAAGACTGCTGCGATACTCGATGGTTTAGCACGTGGGCAGACGACCTTGCATCGCGTCTTTGCCGACGCGCTCGAGGGTTGGATCCTGCAATGCAAGGACCACGATGCACTCCTCGATCTCGTCGGACGACTCAACGATGGTGGTCCGTTGGCGGCACTCTCGGTGCTGGTGCTCAACGGCTTTGTGCTCGAAGCCTTGCGCCTCGTGCTCGCTGTCGGATTGCATCCCACGCATCAGACCACCGTACGTCGATTCGCTTGGTAAGGAGGAGGACTCTGATATTGTGCGTAGTTTTTGAGTGCGCTCGCTGCGTGGGCTGCAGACTACGACCAGCCAACGCTCGTCCAGTTTTGCCACGACTGTGGCGTCTGATGGGTTGGTGGATGGCAGGAAATGTATTTGCATCCTTCATGGTATTGCTGTCGGTACAGATTGTACAACTGGTCCTACGCTAGAGCATCTCCATCCGTATCCACGTACTAATGTTTCATCTGCAGGTCGGTAGAGATAGGATTACCAAGGGGATAAAGATAAAACCCCTAGGTATTCCTGCTGCACAGACCCAGCCCATGTGGAGGCAGCGCACAGCATCGCCAACACTTCAAAAATTGGGATAATGGATAGCTTTATGACAGGCGTGATGACAACGGTACGCAGCTTGATGGTAATACGTAGGAGTCTATTACGTCGTCAAGCGATCCGATCGATGCATTCGCCGACAATCAGTCACCCAGAATGCCACCAATTCATCCAGAAAAATACGATCTGGCCTCCAATACGCGTCTTAAACGGTGCGACGGTCAAGGACATCGACGACACGTCGTCAGGTAGACTACGATCTCGACACACGACTGGGAAAGGATCGCTATAAATGATTTCGTCCCCTCGGCTATAGACGCAAGCGCATGGGGGAGAGGAACGGGGTTCGTGTTGGGAGGCCGCCGCCGCCCAAGAAGGGACTGGTGGGAGAGTAGCTAAGAGGATCGGAGCTGGACGAGCAAATCTTCAAATCTTCGAACTCGGCGGTTGCGCCTTGCTATTAAAAGGTGGTCGATCTGCCGCCATCTTGGCGGTTGGGCATGGCGGTTCAAGATGGCGCACATGCTTTGCCTCGGTACAAAAACCCAACTTCACGCGTGCGCGAGAAACTATCCTGAAGGGCGCGGGGCTACTGCCCCGTGCTGCCACGTACTAGTACATAATTGCTGCCGTCGGTTTTAGGGCCAATCCGATCACGTTGTAGCGTACGACATTTTAGCCAATCGCAGCAAGGTAGAAAACGAGCGATATGCCGAGCAAGCGGGCCAAAACAGCAGCAGCAGCGACGGGCCCAGCACTGCCGCAGCAGCTGCTTGAGGCGATCGCATGCTACGTCACGTTGTCGTCCACGTTCTTCGCAGTGCTCGATGCACTGCCCCGTGCCGGTAGAAGCTCATTCCTCACTGCCCTGGACGAGCTGGCCTACGTGTGCCCGCCCGACCTGCTGTGGCCCGCCCTCCGCGTCGGCGACGCCGCATTGGCATCGACCGGCCATGAAGCGCTCTTAGAGCGCGTGCTCAAGAGCCACACGCTGGTACTAATGAGCCCCAGCGATCCGATCGAGTACTTTGAGATGCTGTCGCCGACTGCCAGCGTCTTTTTGAACGCCTGCGACGCCAAGATCGAGAACGTCGACGCTGCGATTCTCGCGCGCGTGACGCACTTGGGTGTTAACATGATCAACAAGAGCTGTTGTCTTCGGTCCGTGGCGGTGCAAGTGGCGAATGCACCGCGCCTGCGCGCGCTGATGCTCGGCCTCGACGTTCAAGAGCTCGCAGACGATGAGGCCCTCGGCCTTTTGCAGGCCAACACAAGAGCAACGCTTCGCTCCACAGAGATTTGGTTGACCAGTAGCACCGACAGCGAGCCGCTCAACGAAGTTACGGCGCGCGCTGTCGCGCAGACGATCGCGTCCTTTCCCGTGACGCGGCTCTTTTTTAACGAGGTGCGAGCGACCGAGACCGGCGCCAAGATGCTCTACGATGCAATGATCGACGCACCCCGCTTGAACGACGTCGAGGTTTTGAGTAGCAGCGATCTGGCGCGGGCGTTCGCTGCCTTTGGTCGACCATGGACCTGCCAGCGACGCCACGAGCACGACGATATCTGCATCGCGAGGGCCAACGCGGCCAAAGAGACCGTCTTTCCGCAGATCACGTCGTGGCGCCTCCAAGGCGTTTGGAGTGAAATGCGCAGTGCCATCCCGACGCTGCAAGCAATGGACCACTTGCGCTCTCTGCGCCTCTTTTTTCAAACGCAGCTCAGCGACGACGAGTTTGACGACGTCCTCGCGGCCATCGCGCCGCTGCCACTGCGCACGCTCGCTCTGGGCGGCGTGGCTCTTCTCTCGGACCCGAACCGCGTGCAACGGCTGCTCTCGATGCTCGAAGCCAAGTCGTCGATCACAACACTGCGCCTCAGGATGGCGGGGCTTACGATCTATGGCCTCGATGTGACGAGCTCGCTCCTGCGCCATCTTCGGCAACTCGAGTACTTGGATATTGGTAACAACGCACTCACGGACGACGCTGTCCCGCAGCTTTTGACGCTCATCATGTCGTCCAACGTCCATGCGATCCGGCTCAGCAATAACGACCTCTCGGACGATGCCATGGACAGCCTGCACGCGTTCCGAGTTCCGCGCGGTCGATGCGATCTCATATTTTACGGAGACCGCTTCTTCAACGAGATGTAATAAGGTCACTGCAATAATGTGTTCCTGACACTGGTTACTGTTGCACGTGGTTCCTCGCGAGAGCTTATTGACCCTTGTTCCTGGGCAGCGTGTATGCATGCTGGCAGTAGTGTGCTGTAGTAGCAAAGTGAAAGTGCACTGTCGTTGGCGCCAGGAAAGGCCGCCCGTGCATGCGACGCTTCCTTGGATCCGTGTGTATCATCGATATCCGGTTTCTGTCCGGATGTGGCGCGTATTTTGAGGATTTTGACCAATCACAGGACGGCATTTCTAGGAAGGGTACCGACCACTTCGGGCGAGACCACGTATACGCAGCGCGACCATGGGCCCGACCGAGCAAGAAGTAGCGCTCATCTCGCATGGCCGCAAGATCCTCGAGGTATACAAGCACAAGGGCGTCATCAACGGGTACATTGAGCGACCGGATACGCCTCGCGGCGACGACGAGCCGGCCATCGCCAAGCACGAGAGCTGGCAGAGCGTGACGGCCAAGCACACGCAAAGCAGCCAGCTGCTCCAGTCGATCGAGCGCAGTACGCTCAAGCTCGTCGAGCACGTTGCCAGCGCAGACACACCGGCGGCCGCTGCTAGCTTGAGCCATGTCACGGCGCCGCTCGTCGCCCAACTGCGCCAACTCCTCCGCCAAAAACAGCTCCTCGAAGACGACATGGAGCGAGATTTCCATGTATTTTCATGCTCCCAAGCATGCGGTCGATATGCAATGGTGCGTAGGCTCTCGGACCACCGGTCGTCCTCGATGCATCCAACAATGTACCGTCGGCATGGCTTGCCCACGCCGACATGGACGCGCTCGTCCACGCCAAGGTCGCGCCATTGGAAGCCGAGCTTGCGCAGGCCAAGACGACGATTGAAGACATGCAGGTCAAGCTTCACGCGTACAAGGTCCAGCTCCAGCAGCCAGCGACGAGTACACCCTCGCCCATCGCATCCTCGACCTCGTCCAGCCCACGGGCGCACATTCAGCGCCTCGAGCGCCACATCCAAGAGAAGGACGAGCTCATCCGCGCGCTCCGCGAGACGTTGGACGACGTCGCAAACGACAGCAGCCGCATGGAGAAGCTTCTCATCGCGCAGAGCGACTCGATTGCGATGCTGCAAAGCGAGCATCGTACGCCGTATCCGAGATCTTCTCTGCCGAGCTCATGTTTCTGGTCGTAGAGGTGCGGGAAGCCACGGCGGCGGTTCCTGCGAGTGCGCTCTCGCCGCCCACGTCCGAGACGCAAGACCTCGTGCCGCCGGACGATGGCCACACGCACCGCGTCGAAGATTTCGATACGCCGTTGCCGCCAGGCTGGGAGATGCGCGTTACCAACACGGGCGACGTGTACTTTATCCATCGGCACTCCAAAGTCACGACGTGGGTCGACCCTCGCTCGCACCCGATCCAGCTGCAGCCGTCGTTGACGCATAACGCGCCGCTCTCGTCCCAGTACGCGATCGAGTTTCACGAGAAGCGCCCGATCGGCGTCCTCTTCCAGCCCAACGCGCCAGTGGATCAAGGCGCGTGCGTTCGCCGGATCCTCGAAGAGACGCCGGCCGAGTACGCAGCCCAGATCCAGCCAGGTACTACTAGATTCGACTTTACTGGTTGACACGGTCGTCACGGCGAGCGTACTAGGCCACCAGCTCGTCGCGGTCAACGGCCACCGCATCCAGGAAGCGTCGTTCCGGCACATTATGCTCCTGTTGCAAGGCGGCTTTCGGCCGCTCACGCTCACTTTCGACCGGCTCGTGCGAGGTAGTAGCTACAATTTTGATTTGGATGGGATGCTGACCTTATTGGTACTAGAGGGCACGTTGCTACAGGACGACGAAGGCCAGGAAGGGACGCGCGCTACTGGCGACGAGACGGCCGGGTACTCGCTGGCCGACCAGCTCATTACGGGCGTCTTCTCGCTGGTGTGGGCGGCGCCGGACGAGCCGTCGTCGGCGGTGCAGCCTATTTAAGAAAGACTGTGTGGAATAAAAGAACCGATTATGTGGCGTGGCACCGCCATGGCGAATATTGCAACGGCTAGATGCACGCAACGTTTGTTTTAAAAAACAAGAGACTCCAAATGCATTGGATGTTTGTATGGAGACGCGCGGCCGCGTCGTGGGTTTTAATACAGACAAGATCGTGAACCGTCGTGATGCGATTCTGCTGATGGACCGCCAAGGACGATGGACGAGCAGGAGCGACGACGAGAATCGAAGCGAAGGCGTCCGGCTACCCGAGCTTCCGGCGACGACCACCTCGATGGCCGACCGCCTAAGCGCGATCAAGTCCAAGATCGCACAGCGCAGCGTCGAGCACCGCCAGCGCAACGCGGCGCCCGACCCGCCGGTCCCCTTCCGCGACGTGAGCTTGGAGCAGATGATGGAAGCCCGGTTGCATGCACTCCAGCGCGAGATCGAGACCAAGCAGCCCAAGGCGACTCCTCGCGCGTTGCCACGACTGCCCGACGCCGACTTCACCGCGCTCGTCGAGCGCACGACCGCGCTCTCGCAGTTCCACGACGCCAAGGCGACGCTGGACGCCTCGCTGCATGTTGTGCACAGCAAAGGTATATCCATCTCGCACTCCTGTCCATGGAACGCATCAACCGATACACTACATGTAGTGCAGCGGGCTGACGATGTTGCCGAGAACCTCCGCGACCAGGTCGAAGCGCTCTACCAGCTCACGCCGGAATTGGACTTTGATGCACGGGCGCTGCGGTGGCGATCCATCGTCGCGACACGCACCGAGAGCCGCCTGTTGCGGGCCGACGCCGACGCAGCGCTGCATGCGTTCGCGCACACGGAGCTGCGGAATCCGTACAGCCACCTCACCACGCTCACCGACGACGATACCCCGTCGACCTCTCTGCCGCCAGCGACCCGCGATGTGTGGCTCATTGGTCGGCGCGGTATCGAAGTCAATTCTGACACCGTCGTCTACTACGGTGCGTACCTTCCGAGTCCGAGTGACGCAGGCGACAACGACGCACGGCCTTTGGATGGCCTGCGCTGGCTGGCTTGCTCCGCTATCGCCGCCGAGCCGAGCCCGACCGTGTCGTTTCGCAAGGTACATCCATGCGGTGGTCGGTGGAGAAGGAGCGGCGTACGATGTGTGCTAGGGGACGGTGGAAGCGTGGGACGTGGTGGGTGCGGGCGTCGAGAAGGTCAATGGCATCTACGTTCTCTCAGGTCGCTTCGAGCACGCCAACAAGTACACGTCTGTAGCCGGCCTCGAGCTCTTCCGCAAGCGGTAATCGACCCCACGCGTGTCGTCGGCTGAGTGCTCGCGATTAGGTTTAGCATGGCAACGCAGGCGTTTGGTAGCACCGAGATGGATACACTGTCGCCGGACCAGCTCGATGCGCTCGATCCGGTCAGCGCGGGCCTTCCGTTGCCGCTGCGCACCCGCTACTCGGAAGAGGACTTCCACGTTCTGTCGCAGATCGGGTCTTGGCTCGCGACGCAAGAGGTCAAAGCCAAGACCCACGCGGAAGCCATCAAAGAGTCGCACCGAAAGGTCCAATCCGTCGACGGGTCGAGCCCCGACGACGTGGTGACGGTGCAGACACACGTCACGATGCCAATGCCGCTCGTGCCGTCGCGCGCCAACGCCGTGCCGCCGATATGCCGTGCGTGGGTGCTCCTGCAGTGCCGCAGGAGCGACTGCAAGCGACGCCATTACTACATCTCGCACGCCGAACGGGAGGCCATGACGTTGTGGCAAGAAGATCTCGAGGCCAACGTACGCACTGTGTGGACATCGCATCGGATCATATGTCGGTGCCATGTAGCTCGATTTGACGGCGCTCAAGGCCATCGCGGCGCGCGAGCTTCTCATCGAGCAGGCGCGCGCGATCGGTGCCAAGGCCATGTCCAAGTACCAAGCCAACTTGGTCCACGAGACCAAGAAGCAAGTGCAGAAGCTCGTGCATGCTCTCAACGCGCTTCGACTCGCCAACGTGCGGGTTGTCGAGGCGATTGTGGCGTGGCGCACGCACGTCCAGGCCTCCGGGCGTCTCTCGATGCTCCATGCTGCTACCGACAACGCTTCGTCGCTTGGCTGGAGCGTGAGCATCACCGTGCTCACGGGTAAATATCTCTATCGCGGCTCCAACGCCTTTCTCTCCAAAGTACGTCAACTATCAATGTATCAACGACGCGATCTCGATCCATAGATCAAACGCTATTGCCGCGACGCCGACGTGCATGGTGAAAAGGAGACCCAAGTGCGGTACCTAGGGTGCTATCCGACCAAAGTAAGTCGACGTGCACGCGGCCACTCGATGCGATGGCTTGTGCATTAGGTCCAAGCCGAAGCTGCGTACGACAGTGCGGTCGTCTCGGAGGCGCGGCGCTTGCACACAACAGTCGACCACATGCCCCGAAAGCGGTCCGTTCTCGTGTCGATTCCATGGCACTCGGAGCAGCACGCGTCTCGTAGGTATGTGTTTCTCTCGTGCGGCGCCCACTGTGCGATCGAGAGCGATGTCCGCCACTGCTCGAGCGCCAGGACGGTCTGCGTTGAATGCCGCACCCGCGCGCAAACCAAAGTCGAACCGTGGATACCGACGTATATCTGGCACAACGTCAACTACCTTCTCAAGGTATACGTATGCGTTGGCGGCAACGATGTATCGACTCCCATGCCTAGATGGGCTCGGACTTGGGCTTTTTAGAGGCCATTACACCCTTGCGCCTCTATGTCGGTCCGTCGTTTCCGCTCGACGGCAACCCTTTCTTGATCCCGACCGAGACGCCGCGTGACGCCCAGCGCTTCCTCGAGCTCGCCGTACCGACGTCGGCGCCCAACGAGCTCCTACCGACCGCTGTCTTTACGCGCCACGCCGACAATCTCGTGACGTGGACGCACCCTGAGACGGACGCGACGCATGTGGCCAACCCGCACCACCTCGTGTACCTTCCCTACCCACATGTCCATATAGTGATCAATGCGATGGGTGAATGCTTGTAGACGCTTGACCTCGGAGAATATCCAGATGCAGTACGAAGTGCTCGACATGCCTCGGCTCGTTGAAGCACAGAAAGTCTACCTGCGCGAACTTGGTCGCAACAACCTCGATACGTCATGCGATGCAGCGACGCAGGACGCGCTGAGGACGCCGTCGACGCTGCCGCTGGACGAAGACCCGACGACCCGCATCGTCCAGGCACTGTACTGGGACCGCTGTGCGGCTCTGCGCATCGAGCAAGTGCGCCCGCCCCGCGCGTACAAGCTCAAAAACGTATGGTGCCGCACCGACGTTGGCGAGTGGGCTGGCTTTCGCGTGCGCGGCAAGCACATCCGGCACCACGCGTTCGAGTCGAAACTCTGCGAGACGGGAAAGAAGAACATTCAAACGCGCGCGGCCTTTGTGGCGCGGCTGCGGAGCTACATGCAGCAGCCACTGGAAGCGCTCTCGCGGCGAGAGATGGTCGATCTCCTTGCCGAAGCCGAGGTGATGCGCGGGGACTTGGTACATGGGCGAATGATGATATCGACCACATGGAACATGATCTTGGCCGTAGGTCCACTTGGAGGCCGAGAATTTGCGGCGATTTTTGGCAAAGTACGATGCGATGACGGCGGCCGCGTGGACCCTGCAGCTGTGGTGGCGCCGGACGCTCGCACGCTGGATCGCACGCCTTCGAGCGCTCGCACTGCGCACGCTGGCCCACGCCCGACGCCAGGTCCGAAGCGTATTTGATTGGTTTGGATTGTGCTCTATTGGTTGGTCTTGTAGTTTGAACAAACCGTCACCAGCGTCGCCAACGTGCTGTACGCGGCCGTCGTGGCCACCGCGACCCAGCGCGTGATGCAGCGCCTCCGCGACGGCGTCGTATCGACCTGCCTCAAGCTGGATGGCGAGCACGTCATCGTGACATACCACTCGATGGACCACTACGATACGACGAACGATGACGTCAATCATCAGCGGACGCCGTGCAGCCACTGCTTACGCATGGCGTACCATCGCAGCGTGCAGCTTCAGAGCTTTTGCTTTCGCCAAGAGAGGAGCCTCTGCTACTGTGGCAAGCGCCGGGAGCCCGAGCGCATCCTCGTGCGTGCGTACAACCCTGCGACGAACGATGTCTACCGACTTCTCATTGGCAACGAGCAACTGCGCCAGCTCGTGCGCCCGCATGTCGACGGGTGTGTGTTTGTTTCAACTGGATCGGTTGATATGAATACATGGGTGCCTAGCAACGTCCGGCGCGCGTGCGACTTGCTGTCGCTGCCGACAGATCGCATACTAGGGTACGACCTCAAAGCCATCGGTGGGCGGCCGCGCACGAGCTGGGACCCGATCCGCGAGGCTGCGGTACGATAGTTTTCCATAGTGTATCAAGATATCAACAATGTGGATCTCCGTAGCGGGCCCACCAAGTCGCGAGCGCGGTCGAGACCCTCGCCGCGTCCCGAGAGGCGCATGCAGCGACCACATCAACACACTATAATGCGTGGCGGGCGCTGCATACCGACACGTTGCACCGCAAAAAGCATGCGTGGAACTGGTACCAAAAGGCACTCGCTCAAGTCGAGCGGTCCATGGACACCCTCGCGTCGGCGACAGTGCACGCCAAGGAGGCTGTAGCGTTCTCAGAGAAAGGCCGGACGACCTTTGCCGGCGAAGCGTCGTGGGATCCGCTTGAGAACGCCAACAACTGGCGCCTCCTCGTCGCGAAGCGGCAGTCGGCGCGCGACGTGGTCGAGAAAGAAGCGCAGTTCCAAGCCGCTCGAACGGCGTGGTTTCACGCCGAAATGAACGAGGCGAGCGCACGGGCCCTCACGGCCCACGCCAAAGTATACCAAGAAAACTTACCATCCTCAGTGTTGAGAAAATACGTAGGAGCGCTACGATGTCGTCGCGGCCGAAGCCAAGCGCACGCGGCTGCTCGCCAACGACTACCGCGCGATGGCGACAGCCGCACGGCTCATGCTGCGAGCCACGACGCGCGTCCTCAACGCGCTCTTGACGCTGCGCCAGTATGCGCCCGTGCCCATCCGCCGCACGCTGCTGCTGCTGGACGGCCCCGTCTTGCAGCACTACCATGGACGACCCACGGCCCTCCACGCAGTCGTGAGTCGTCGCCGATTCGCCTACAACCTGCGTACGTCCCTGCGACCTCTTTTGGTATGCAAGTTCATGCTGGCATCTCCGCAGTCGCGGCAAGGGCACGGATGGTGCGTATGGACCCGATTCCATACGACGCGAGGCGGCAAGAGCTCTGGATGCTGCAAGTGCGCATGCTGGCCGAGTCGACTGCGTGCGACGAAGGCGTCCTTGTCACAGCGTATGAAATGTGGTCGATGCTTCGAACCTTGCATGTGTGATGTAGGTACCGTCCGCACGACGCCAAGACGGTCGACACATGGGTCGAGTGGCGATTTCTTCACTTGCTCGTCGACTGCCCGCGCTTCCGAGACCCCGACATGCCCATCTTCGAAGCGCAGCATGCGATCGCAGCGTCCAAAACGCGTCACGGCAATGCCATGATGCAGAAGCGGCTCGTCATGACGGCCCGGGCACACATTCTAATGGCGCTTATGCGTCTCAATTCGTTCACGGCCGAGATTGATGTCGGGCGGCTGGCGTATTTTCGCCTGCGCGAAGTGCTGCACCGACGGCTGCTGCAAAGTCATTGGTGGCACGACGTGCTCGCAGGTCGCAAGCGCGGCCGCGGCGACGAGGTCTACCGGCAAGCGGCCAATGTACGTCGTTCCTTCTTGCATCCAACAAGGATACGGAGTCGGATGTGTGTAGATTGACGGACGCCGGTGCCACGTGCTCATCTTTGAAAACTATGGCGACATTCGAATCCAAGTGTACGAGCCGCGGCGTCGGAATCACTGGACACTCGTTGTCCCGCTCGTCTCGTCCATCGATGCGCTGCGTGCTTCGCCCGAGAAGCTCAGCCACTGGCTCGCGTGTGTCCGCACCAACAAGTACTCGGACGCGGTATTTCAACCGCTCTTGCAGCACTTGACGATCCATGCGACGAACGGGCTCACGTTTGCGCGGCCGCGAGCCAAGATTGTGTGGCGCGGTGTCCGTTTTGTCTGCAACCGCTACCTCCTCGTCACGATCCGCCAAGACGCGTGGCTTGGCCTCCGACTGAGTGTGGGGAGCGAAAACCACGCCGACGCGCCGATTCGAGGAGAGACGTCGATCGATGCCCACGGCTGCCGCGTCTTGTTTCCGACCATGGCACCTGGCGCGGACATGTATACCAAGCTGGCCGATATGGTGACGTTGACGCCATCATCTACGCACATGTCAACGGACGGGGATGCGCTCGCGGCCGCGATTTCGGCCTTCAATTCGTGGATCGAGACCACCACGTACGGGACAGGACCAAGTGGATTTCGGCTCACGCCTGTGTGTAGACGCTGGCGCAATCCGCTGAGCCCGGTGGATTCGGGCACAGCGCGGCTATGGGCCTGCCTCCTTGACGCCAAGAAGCTGCGGCAACCGCTCTCGTCAGCAGCCACTGTAGTGCTAACGCACGAGGTACAGCATGTCACTGACAAAGCGGTTGGAGGTTGACGCGCGGCAGGTTCCGCTGCACGACAAGATGCGTCGGTGTGTATATGCAGCTGACTACATTCTCGATGCAAGTCGCGACATGCAAGCCAAAATTGAAGTGTGGCCTCGCCACGGCGCCATGGTGCTCCGCCTGCGGTACGACGATACATAGTGGATGGCTGTGGCGTAGTACGCGCGTAGGCGGGAGCTCTTTCATGAGTGGGAAGCGCGCCAGGAAGGCAAGCAGCGGGCCGCCATGGCTACCGAGGAAGCGCGCACGCACCTCTCGATCCTCCATGCGCGGCGCAGGTATGTCGTAAACAAACGTAGGGCGAAGCCGAGGTCATTTTGGACGTAGCGACATTCAAAGGACGCTGCGACAGTACCAACGCCGGCTGCGGGATCTTCAAAACGACTTGGTTGCGTCGACAGTGGCCGTGGCATCGGTCTTGGAGACACAGCACCGGCGGCAGTGTACCCTCCTTGCGATGCAGTACATTCTGACGATGGCGGTGCACGAAGTCGTCGGTGGTGACCGAGCGCCGAAAGCGTATGCACTCCGCGTCGGTCACAACATCGAATGGCTCGAGACGCCGCCGTATGTATCGAGCTGCGTCTACCTCAAGCCCACCACGACCAGCTATGAGCCCAACACGGCCGCCACGCTGGCGACGACGGCAATCGTCGGCGCGTTTTCTCGACCGCTGCAGTTCTTTGTCTACATCTACGTGACGGATGCAAGCGAGGTACATTGCTTCTCGCCGTTCTATCAACGGATGCATATGGCGGTAGGTTTGGCGCGTCGACGCCTACTGCAAGACCATTGGTGTTCTTTTGACCCATTTTATATCGGTCGCCGCCTTTGTCCATGAGGTCGATTATCACCTGCCAGCGCTGCCTCCAATCGAAATGAACGCCAAGGCACTTTCGTGGCTCGCACAGTGTTCGGTCGCTCCTCCCGACGCATCCGCGACGATGGCCGAGCTCTGGACCCATCTGGTCGGCGTACGATCCGAGCGGTCGTTTCTGTCCCACACCCTCCAGCGCCTCACCGCGCTCGAGGGTGCGGGGGCTCTCTTGCGAAGCAGCCCCTCTCATTTTGTGCGACGAGATGTGCTTGAACGCGCGCTCGCGGTCGTCGACACCGCACTAGCCCTAACCCTGGACGATATCGACCAGTTGGCGGACGCCGACGTGGCGCCGTACTTTTATATGCTGTGCGATCCCGATGCGCTTCCAACGACGACGACGACGACGACGACGACGACGACACATACCAGCAGCGTTGTGAGCGAACACACTCTAAGCCTGCATGCCATGACGGAGTACGGAATGCTCCTCCACGCCGACATCTCGCTTGGTATCGAAGAGGTCTTTGCCGATCTATGGACGCCGGACGTGGCTGCGTCCGTGCTCGCATCGCCCGATGTGAAAGCGATCCCGGCACTGCACGGTACGCTCTTCGCAGCATCGTCCGGATCAAACGTCAATCTCCGAGCAACGACGCTCGCCAACGTCGTCGTGTATGGCCCTGCCATCTACACGACGACGTCGCACGTGTTTCATGATCTCGTGCTGGCGACGCAGTGGACGTCCGACACGGTGAAGAAGAAGGCGGTGGCTCGCCGCGGCGCCCCGTGGCGGGCCTACGCCAGCGACCGCATGCGGCTCGCGCGGGCCGCCAAGCCCAACCAATCGCATCTGCCGCGCCCCGCGGTGGTTATTGCGACCCTCGACGATGGCGGACCGCCCAGCACGGAACTCTTGACGCTCGGCCAGTACGCCGTGTCCCGCAAAGCCTTCGAGCTGCTCGAAGGGTATGCGAGGCAGGTCGACGGCGGCGCCATGTCGCTGCATCAGCACGCAGTGCAACGCGTTCTCGATGCCATATCGGTGGATGCTCATGGCTCGGGCGTCCTTTCTACGAAACCACTGGACCTCGCACGCGTCTATTCCGGCACCCTTTCCGTGCCGCTCGACCAACCCAGCAAGAGAGACAACGAAGGATCGCCCGATGACGTTATCACACCCAGCGTGGTACGACTGCGCGTCGATGTACGCGTCAACAATGTCGCGCACCCGACAGCGCTTGTCGTTGACGCATATGACGACGATGCGTCATCACGTGCCCACGACTACCGCGTCACGATTGGTGTCGACGAGATGCGCGTCCTCGTGCCGCGACGGCCCGTGCACGGCGACGCGTGGGCCGCCCTGGCCGTCCACTGCCTTGCGCATCTGGTGCGTCGTCATCATCGTATCTTGGATGATGTGACTTCGTGTAGACGCTCTGTCAACGCAACGGCCGGCGGTGTCTTGCCTTCTTGGCGTCGACGCGGTCGCCACCGGTGACGAGCATCGCCCCACCGACTGCCATGCGTGTGCCCCACCCCTTTGTGGCGTTTCTGCGCCCCGTCGCTCCGTTCACACAGGTCGACGCGCTGGCCGAGACCATGGTGCTGGCGCGGCTGCAAAAGCACACGCTGTCGTCGGTCCAAGCGCGCATCGCGGCGCGGCAACGGTCCTTGGCCCTGCAGAGCGCCAAGGCCGCGCTCGAGTGGGCGGGCATGGAAGCGTCCGACGCCGAGTCAACCGCCGATCGAGGCTTCTTGACACTGCCCACCAAGTCCTTGCACAAGCTCAAGACAGCGTACGACAAGGCGATGGCCAAGGCGGTGGCAACCGACGTCGGTCGCGCGCGTGCCTTTTGGCGGTCGCTGGCGTCGACTTTGCACTTGCCCGACGACGTGTTGCCGGCGGCGCTGACCGTCGGCTTGCCGTCGTTCTACGTCGTCGCCGAGCTATGGCGGCAGTACTTGGTGACACCTCCACAAGCGACACCGGAGGGTGCCCCGTAGCGCGCGGGCGCGCCACGAAGCGGGCTTGTTTTAAAGAATACGATGCAGCTACTAACGACTATCCTAATGATACTTCTGGTCGAGTACGAAATCGGCTCTACTTTTCCATGTAGGCCTTCTGCACTTCAAAGGCCAGGAGCGTGATGCCGAAGAGCGGCGCTTGGACCATCATGCGCGGCACGACGCCCTTGAAGAGCGCGCCGACACCGCCGGCGGCGAACACTTGCTGAAAGCAGTCGATCGTGCCCTTGTAGTTGGCGCCGATCATTTGCCGCTTGGTCTTGATGACGTCGGCGGCGTGGCAATCGCTGCGGCGCCCGCACCGGCCGCGCAGCCCGCGGCGACGATGGCCGGCATCGAGGCATGGCCACTCTCGTCGGCCGCCGCATCACGGAGCGTCGCGTACGTCGGGAAGAAGACGATCGCGTACGGAATATCGCGCAGGAGGCACGCCGACGTGCCCTTGTACAGCCCTCGCAGGCCCAAGTCCTATGGCAGAGACGCATGAGTATGTTGCAAGACGGGTCGACAGAAGAATCTACCTTGACGACTTCGATGGCGGTCTTGCGCTCTGCGAGCGGCAACCGATCTTGGGTCTGGATGCGGATCTTGACGATTTCCATCGGGTTGGTCGCAATCACCTGGCAGAGACCAGCGCCGGCACCCGCGAGCACCTGCTTGTGCAGCGGCAGCACGCCCGTGTCGGTCGGGTCAAGCACTTCGCGCAGGTAGTCGTTGACCGCGAGCTTGATGGCCTTCTCGGGGATGACACCAACCAGCGTCGGCGGGAGGCCGCGGAAGAGACCACGGACACCGTCGCGCGCCAAGAGCGTCTTGAAGCAGTGCACTGGTCCCGTGAAGCTCGTCGAGCTCTGCAGATTGGTCTTGACGATGTCGATGGGAAACGTGGCCGAGACACCAATGACGCCGGCAAAGCCACCGACCGCGAGCTTGCCGACGAGCGGGATCTTCTTCTTTTTGGCGGGCGTCGGCAGGAGCGCAGACGGGTGGAGCAGCGTCGTCGTCGTCGAAGTCATGGGCGCGTAGCAGAAGGCGGAATGATGGGAGGGACCCGAGAGATTTCTTGTGTGCTGCTGCGTACTACACCGTACGCAAGATACCTTGCCTTCAACACTTTGTGTTTCCCCAATCAGTTGCAGCGCTTTGATTGGTGCATTTGTCGAAATCCCCACCGGGATGGGATTTGATTGGCTAAAACCACATTGCAGTTCACCGCCGTGACACCCACTCGTTCCACATCCTTTATTGTATTGCGCACGTCGCATTGCGTCTTTGTATCTAGAATTAATTTCTAGAATAAATACATCCTCCCCACCATGGGTTTCCCAGCTCTACCTCAATAGCGAACACACGAGCGCGGTAGCGTCAGCGGCATTTGTGCAGCGTCGTTAAGGCCAAGCAATCTACCACGCTGTTCGCTGCTGTCTCTTTGGGTCGGACCAGACCAGTGGTCATAGGCACCGCACGCTACCACGCTTACACGACACATCCTGTCGTATAAACGCACGGGAATCTTGGTCGTGTCAGAGGACCACCGGGGTAGGAATGAGACCCTAATGATACATGACGTTGAAGTTGGGATAGTGTTGGTAAACGACGGAGCGGTTCAACGCACGACGAGGGATCGAACCCTGGCCACCGCAAGATCTGTGACGGCTAGCGGGTCGCGAGAAGCTCGACTTGCGGATGCCAAGTCTCTCTAGTATGATGCTACATATACTGCCAAGCGCCTCTGTTGGCTGTGGATGGAACTACGGGACATGCGACGCCACTTCAACATGTTGCGACGCCGCATTTGAATGTGTCACAGACACTCCGGCTGTTGCCCGCTGCCGCCCCAAGCTGCCTCCGATCGACTTGGTCCTCCACGATCTGCGCGCATGGAAGCAGTGTGGCGGCGGCGAGTTTGACGGAGACCAGAGCTGCGACGACGGCTGGAGCTGCTACGCGTGGAACCAATGGTTTTCCGAGTGCGTACCAACCGCGTCGCTCGCGCCATGGAATGCAACGACGACGGAATCACCGCCCGCTCCACCAACCATCACGGCCATCCAGAGACCCAGCATCCAGCCGCCAAAGCCAAGCCAGGTATGGTCGGGCCCTTCCGCGACACCTGGCGTCGTCCCGACAAGTGTGCCACCCACGTCTGTTTCGCCGCCACGACCGTCGTCACCACCGCCAACGGTTGCCCCGACGGTGCCGCCACGACCAACCACCCGACGGCAACCGACAGCTCCACCGACACCAAAGCCTTTGGCAACGCCTCGCCCAACGTCACCGCCGCCAACGGTTGCTCCGTCGGTAGCACCGCGACCAACCACCCGACGCCAGCCGACGGCAACACCGTCGCCGACGGCCCCATTACGGCGATCGACCGTGTTTTCAGACTATGCAATCTTTACGGCTGCCGGGGCGGCCCTCACCGAGTACTATGCCAACATCTACGCCTCGCCCTTTGCCTTCGTGGCCAACACGAAATGGACCTACACAGTCGACACGGGGGCGCTCGCCGTCGGGAGCAATGGCCAGTGCCTCGCCGCCCAGCGCGCGTCGGACGGACGCTATCTTGTGCAAACGCTCGCGTGCGACGCGGAGCATAGCAACCAAGCATGGCGCATTGACTTTCGAACGTATCGCATCGTCCATCGGAACATGTTGGGTCTCTGCTTGGACTGCGCCGGCGCGGGTGTGACGCTCTCACCGTGCAACACGGGCACGACGACGCAGTGGGTTCGTCTCGCGGCGCCCAGTGAGTTCTATGACCGCACCGACTTTGCGAACCAAGACGTCGCATCGATGCGAGCGAGTGCCGCCATCGACTGTGTCGGCAAGTGCGGTGCGATGGACACGTGTGCGGCCGTCGTGTGGACAAGTACACCCACCGGTGGGATGTGCTGGCTCAAGTCAGGCCGTCGGTCGCCCATCGCAAACAACGGGGCAACCGCAGTGGCATTGACACCGCCGTCGCTGGCCGTGTGCCAACGACTGACGCTCGATGTCGGCGTCGACTATGTCGGGTACGACGTCGGCTCTGTCAAGGCGGACGCACCGTCCGACTGTTGCGCGCCGTGCACTGCCATGGCCAACTGCAACGCATTCAGCTGGGCGGACCGCACATGCTACCTCAAGAACGCGCGCATGGTAACGACGGCCAATGCGGCGGTGACGTCCGCTCGTGTCCGCAAGTGCTCGGCGCTGCAAGACAACGTCGATTGGATCGGGTTTGATATCGGGTCGGCGGCGGCGGTGGCGGCTGAGGTAGACATTCTTCGTGTCGACGCGCTGGAACGACTGTCTTGTACTAGGATTGTTGCAGCCTGTGTCGAAACAACTGGAGCTGCCAAGCCTATGTGTGGAGCAACGTCAACGGCGGCACGTGCTGGTTCAAGTCGGCGCGCGGCGCAGCCCAGACAAAGCTCGGTGTCCGCTCGTCGCTCGTGCTCTTTTGAATGCATCGAGCTCTTTCCACATCGTACAAATCGTCATCGTAAGCTCAGTCCAAGTATCTTTCTGTAGTCCCTTTTGTTCGCTACTGCTCCATTCACACAAGACGATTTGCGATGGCCGATTCAACAGGCCAGCGTCTTATTAGCGGCAGTCGACCCAGTCGCGCCACGGCAGTCGCTTGACGAGCGACGTGGCGATGAGCGTCGCCTTGTCGCCGTCGACTCGGTCGGCGTTGACCTTGTGCTCGGGCGCCGGGTGCCAGAAAACGTCCTTCGTCGCCTCGACGCGGTACTTGTTGAGCGCAATCCGCGTCGCGTGAAAGTGCAGCCAGAGGTAGTTGAGTGGATCCGTGAGCGCCACAATGTTGATGAGTCGGTGCCGGTCCTCCGTGTCCTGCGATCCAGATCGAGAATACGACATGATGGACTAGACGCACCTGAAAGGCGCCTGTCGGAAGGAGGACGTCAGTGTCCCAGCTGACGCTCAAGAAGGTCGCGTCCCAGAGAACACCGGCGGTGGCTGGGATCGCAGTCGACTTTGCGAAATAGAGCAGCGGCATTGTAGACACGTGCGGGCCGCGCCGAAAGCCGTCGCAGAAGCGCGGCCCCAGCCACTAGTCCATCGTCCTCACAACGTTACTACGACGATACTGTCGAGCGTACGTAAAAGAAGCAGCCGCCGCTGGCGAGGCCCAGCACGACGAGGATCGCCATGCCTTCGGCATAGAGGCCCCCCATCTTGGTGTTCCAGGCTGTAAAGACGTTGGGGTAGATGAGTGCGACAGCCGACGATGGCTCCATCTACACCACTTGGACGCCAACGATCCAGAAGACCAGAGAGGAGGGTACCGGCCACGAAGCGACGAGCGCGCTGGCAGGCGGTGGGTCCTTGACGATGAAGAAGAACGACGCGATCGAGACGAGGCCGTACACGTGGCCTTTGATACCCCACCACTCTACGCCTCGTCGATTAGACGGAAGCTCTCGAAGGTGCTCAGGAGGGACCGGTCGGCGTGTTCCACGTTGCGCCAATGCGGAAGAAGAAGGCGATGCGCACAAGGAGCGCCATGAGCCACGTATTGCGCAGGTGGATGGCCGCCACTTCGGCCCAGTCCGAGACCGACGCGTTCCTACATACATGGAAGCCGTAAAGACAATGTGTTCACATTTAAAATCGGAGAACCGAAGATCGATCCACGTGATCGAGTGAAACATGGTCGCGTCGATCATGAGCGCGAGCGTGTAGCAGAGCAGCGGGATCCAGCTGCCGTAGACAACGACTTGGGGTGGGATGCGCGAGAGCATCGAGAGGCCGTCCGTGACGCGGCCCCACCGACTGCTGGCGCGCGATGCGGCGACGGAGCCGAGCACGAGGCACAGAAAGCGCAGCACGTTGTAGCTCTGGCCCGTCACCCGCAAGAGCCGCACCGTCGAGAACCACTCTTCGACGTCCGTGACGGCAATCTCCCTACCTCTGACATGAAAAGTGCACTGCAACTGTTGGCGTAGTACCCTTCGTAGCGGTAGTCGTGGATACGCGTCGTGCGGCAGACCCCACTGCTGTCGCAGCGTCTCGTGCGCGTGAGCACGACCACGTCGTACGTGCTGCGCGAGAGGAGGACGCCGCTGCCGCTGTACGTGATCGGGTCCGACTCGGACTCGATCGTCATGACATCGACGAGATCGCCCTACGCAGCTGGTGTTGAGAGGTTGTGGATATACCAAGCACAAGGTGGACGGGCTGGCTCAAGGCGATCGCGTTGGCGTGGACCGCACTCCAGAGGTTCTCGGCGTCGCAGCGGTCGTCGGGCGGCGTCTGCTGAATCCACGCGCAGTACGCCCACGTCTTTTCACAAAAGAGCGGGCGGTCGTTGGCGTCACCGCAAATGTCCAAGGCCGAGACGTTGGACGGTGCGCGGAACGCAGCGACCCACGTCCTATCCCAGATTTTGTCCATATACAAAAAGGACAATGGTAGCGGTGTACGTGCGAGAGACGTTGCTGTCGGTCATGCTGCCGAGGAGCCCATTCCCCTCAAAGTAGGCGTTGGCGTTGGCGCGCGCGGCCACCTGCACGTGCGTTCGCTGGCTCCATGGACTCGCGCCAAAGGTTCCGAGCGCCGTCATCAGGACCTCCAAGTAGTTGAACACATCCGAGACCGAGGTCGGGGGTGGCGGCGGGGACGATAACAAGCCCGCGACCGCCTGGAGACCAAGCGACGACGGCTTGCTCGTATAGTGCGAGACGTCGGCCGGCACGATGTCGCTGCTGGAATCGGTTGAGAGCGACGCGACGACGTAGTTGAACGGACCCTTGTCGCTAAAGATGTGGGGCTCGATCATGGCGCGGTGCGTAAACTCAATGCCAAAGCCGGAGCGGAAGACGTCCGAGACAAAGAGCGCGTACGTGGCGAGCGCGAGGAGCCCGCGGTAGTACGAGAGGAGCGTCATGACGACGGTTCAAGATCCACTTTGCACTATCTACCAAGAGCGTCCGGCGGAAACGGCCACTCGGTCTCCTCAAGTCGTGCTTTGTCTGCAGCTAGCTGAGTTATCCTTTCACAAGCCTTTCATTTGACACCACTGCTTGTCCTCACTACACACGACTCGAAGCGCGTAGTCGTTGCGAAGTCCTAGGTCCGGGTCATGAAGCGTAGCGTCGTCGTCGCCGTGGCCTTTGTCGCCTCATGAACGCTGATGATCCTACGCCAGCTCGAGAACAGTGTGTTTGTAATAACGTCTGGCGAGTCCGGAACGATCGCGTCTTCCGCGCCGACCTACCGCTGCCAAGTCCATGGACGATTGCCGTCAAGGCGGCACGTGTCGCTCAACTGCACTTGCACCACAGCCTCGTACAAGAGCCCGCGCAGCCTGCACTTCGTCGTCTTCTCCAGCTCCTCGCCCAACATGAGTGGCCGCGACGTCACCTCGTTCCGCGGATAGCGCTCCTGCCTCCGCCTGCCTAAATCAAGTCCCTCAACCGAGTGCACACAACGAAGAAAGCCCGACAATTTTATTTAGCATAGTTTTATCTATTGTAATAGAGACCCACTTCAACAACAGTGTGTTTGTAATCACATGCGAGGCAGACAAAGCGTCGCATCTAGCACGCGAGGCGTCGTCACTAGTAAGTGAATCGATCCTTTGCAATGTTAAGTGTGACTTGAACGCTGCTGGAGAGAGCTACCGAATGCCAAGCTCGGCCACGTCTTAATCGTGTCTTGCAGCCTTGACCGGCATACGACGAGCAGGAGCTCATATGTACCCAGGACGATCATCATCCACCCGACACATCAATGGACACCTAGGTGCTCTTGTGGACTCTGCGCGACGTCGACGTCCATAAGAATGTACATTGTCGGTCGCCTCACCAAGCAGCAGCCAAGAGCCAAGCAGCATCTCATAGGACACGTCTTCTTCGGCACGCTTCGATGGACATCGTCGGAGATGCCACATACCGCAGACTTCAAGTAGCAAAGCTGCCCACATTGGCTAGTCGCACCACCCTTTAGCTGCTCCACACTGGTATCCAGGAGCCTCCGTCGCGTTTGGCTGCTTGACGTCCATGCAACCACACTCAGTAGGCGCTTCTTCTTCGATCAAGTCCATGGGCGTCAAGGTCGTAGGAAGCACGTACGACTCGTACGGCTGTGGATGCCCGTTGTGACAGCTGGTGGGTCTGACCCACTTGACGATGGATCGCGGGAAAATTCTTGCCACTTGGAATCCAAGAAATAAAATAAACAATAAAAATACAAAAAAGATCGCGACTGGCGACCGTCCATGGATCGGGCTTGGATGGCTCATTCTGCAACTTGCTCTAGTACTCCGATCCCATCATGAGCGTCAAGGCGAACCCCGGCGACAAGGTCGTCCTGGCCTACAGCGGCGGCCTCGACACGTCCATCATCCTCAAGTGGCTCGTCAACAAGGGCTTCCAGGTCGTCTGCTACTGCGCCAACGTCGGCCAGTTTGGCGAAAACTTTGAAAAGGTCCAGGCCAAGGCCATGGCGCTTGGCGCCGCCAAGGTCTACATCGAGGACCTCCGCAAGGAGTTTGTCGTCGACTACCTCTGGCCCGCGGTCCAGGCCAACGCCATCTACGAGTCGCGCTACCTCCTCGGCACATCGCTCGCGCGCCCGGTCATTGCCAAGAAGATGGTCGAGATCGCCGAGAAGGAAGGCTGCAAGTACGTGGCGCACGGCGCGACGGGCAAGGGCAACGACCAAGTGCGCTTTGAGCTCTGCGCGCAGGCGCTCAACGCGAGCCTCAAGACGATCGCGCCGTGGCGCGACCCCGAGTTCATCGAGGCCTTCAAGGGCCGCCAGGACCTTCTCGCGTACGCCAAGGCGCACAACATTCCGGTCGACGCGACGCCCAAGGCGCCGTACTCGGTCGACGAAAACTTGTACCACACGTCGTACGAGTCGGGCATGCTCGAGGACCCGATGACGGGTCCGCTCCCCGAGATGTTCAAGATGACGGTCGACCCCAAGGTGGCGCCGGACGCGGCCGAGAAGATCCGCATCACGTTCGAGAACGGCGTGCCGGTCAAGGTGGCCAACCTCACGACGCCGTCGTCGCCCGTGCTCACGGACCCGCTCGAGCTCTTTCTCGAGCTCAACCGTCTCGGCGGCAAGCACGGCGTCGGCCGCATCGACATTGTCGAGAACCGGTTCGTCGGCATCAAGAGCCGCGGCGTGTACGAGACGCCGGGCGGCACCATCCTCCGCGACGCGCACCTGGACCTCGAGGGTCTCTGCATGGACCGCGAGGTCATGAAGCTCCGCGATGCGCTCAGCGTCAAGTTTGCCGAGTTTTGCTACAACGGCTTTTGGTTTGCGCCCGAGATGGACTTTGTGCGGCACGCGATTGCGTTTTCGCAAAAGGCGATCGCGGGCCACGTCGACGTCGAGCTCTACAAGGGCAACGTCACGATCACGGGCCGCTACTCGGACGTCGCGCTCTACTCGGCCGACCTCGCCAGCATGGACATGGAAGGCGGCGGCGCCAACATCGAGTACAACCCGAGCGACGCGCAAGGCTTCATTCGCATCAACGCGACGCGGCTCAAGGCGTACAACTGCATCCAGAAAAAGTCGGCGTAAGCGATCAACACTGTGTCTATTGCGTGTGTCGACTTGCGTGCGTGTGTGGTGGGGTTCTTGGACGCGTCGGTCGATACGGAAGTGGAGTGTTACGGGGCTCTCTGGTCTCTCTCTGATAGCTTCTCTGATGGCATCGATGTCTGACCTCAGAGCGTGCCACGTCATACAGCTGTTCGAACAAATGGCCAAGAACTGACAAGTTGTTGGCCATTGTAGTGTCGTTACGTTGTCGGACAACGAAACAACACTGCGATGTCCCGTGTCGCGCCTGGCGCTGGTGTCATTCGGGCTGCCAACGCGCCTTTGGTTCACGACAGCAGCAGCAAGCAAAATGGACGGGCCGGCGCAGCGGCGGGGCTCACCTACGTGGTGGTTTTGCTGGCGTGTGGCGTCTGGTACCTCGCGCTCTTGGCGCCAATGACCTGTGGTGGGCGGCTTTTGACGTTCAGGTTCACCAAGCCTACCTCGTCGACGTCGCGAATGCACTGCTGGCAACGGCACGATGCGCGTCGTTGGATCTCCGGTTCACAAAGTTTATGGAGGCGATGCGTCGACGAACGTCTGGCCATCGTACGCCCGCCATGTGCTCCTGAACGAGCTCACGTCGATCGAGTACGCCGTGCGTCAGCTGAGCGCGAGCTGGTCCATGCGCATGGCGGTGCAGCACTGCTGGGTTGACTTTAATCAAACGTTCCAAGTCGCCCAATCGACAAAGCGGCAAGAGCGCTGCGCGATGCACTTTCGTTCGGACGGCGGCGTGTACATGGAGTCCATTCAGCGCAACGTGATTTGGACCGAGTTTTCGGATTTCTGGGGCGGCGCAAACGGGCCTTTCCCGATAGCGATCCAGCTGCCGCTGCAAGAGTCGGCGCGCGGCCGCGACTCCTTGAAAGCATCGCCGTCGCCCGCGAGCACACGAGCGTGGACGACGCAATCGCCGGTTTGACCTCGACCGCTTCCACGTGCGGTGGCAAAACCACGGCCACCCCGGCGTCGTTGTGACTCCAGTGGCAAAACTACAAGCGCGTTGGCGTCTACAATGCTATCACCGACACCTACGGTGTCTCGTATCTGCTGACGCTCCAGGCGCCGAGTGGCGTCTACCGCTTGAGCTCGCAAACGTCGTTCAAAATATGTACTGGTCGCTCGCCAACGACTTGTTCGCGGTGGCGTCCAACCATTCGCTTGTCGGTGGTTGCAGTCTGCTTCGGTCCAGCGCCGTCTTTGCATTTGCCAACACGACGCCAGCTGCCATGTTCCAGCAGCACGGGACACTCGCGTCGCCGCTCTCGGCCCGGCTTGGAGCTCGTCACGCACTACCTTGGGCCGTTTGGCTCGATCGATATGGTCTACGTTCCTGTGCCACTGCGCGTGCGACAAATTTTCGGATCGTCGAACGCACGCGCGTTTCGTTGGCGGATAACCTCGCCGCCCAAGCCGCCTACCACCGCATCGCGCCTCTCGACGCCTCGTTCCCCGTACCAACGGCGTGGCGCAACGACAACCTGTTCACGCTCGATGGGTTGCCGCTCTGTCCCAAGATCGATGTACCGCGTCTCGCAAGGGCTCTTTGGCCTGCCATCGTCGACGTCGATATGTCTTGCGGCCAAGGGCGTCGCAGGTTCCATCACGCCGACGCGGCAGCAGCTGGTCGTTGCGGCGCTCGTGGCAGGCCTTCCGTCTTCGTCCATTGACGCGGAAGCGGTCTGCCAAGGCGATGTCCACTTTGTATACCTCGATCCAGTGACTTCGTTCGTTCACACGTACTACTTGCCGCCGTCTCTGGACGCGACCGAGGTGGCGCCCTAGCAGATCGAGTTTTCGCCTCCACCAAAATCAACCTCACTGACGACCTCTCGGTGCGCCGGACGCTCGTGCTCAGCGCGACCGACCGGGACTTTGCCTTCATTGCGTGGATGGAATACCTCTACGACTGGGTATGGGGCCGACGGGATGTCGTCACGTTCATCGGAGACGTTGGTCGCATGACTCCTAACCTCCTAATCCTAACCCTAACACCCTCCTAACGCCACTCTCGCAACCGACGGACGAGTCGCTGGCCACGGCCAACGTCGCCCAGTACCTCCACGCCGGCATTGTGTACGTCACCTGCGTCGCCACTGCGGTTGCGACGGTCACGTTTCTGGCCATTGTGCGCAGTCGATTTCCGTTTGAAGGACTCCATATGCTCGAGCTCGGCCGCGTCGGAGCCATCACGTGGGTCGCTGCTTTTGCTCCGATCGATGACGTCGCTCTGCGTCCTCTCGACGACGCCACTCGCGCTGCGCTTCTCGGGCGTCAACTTCTCCGACGTGGCACGCGACACTACTCGCTGCCAACGACGTCACGTGGCTTGTCGCCGTCGTCTCGCTCGCCTTCACGCAAGCGTACACGCCCAACGGCCTCCTCGGCTCGGCGCTCCTCTTCTTTCTGCAGCCCGTTCGCGCAACACTCGACATGGACCTGCGCTGCGACATCGTCGACTTGGACTTGAACGTGGCTTGCTCAACGGGAACCATCACCATCGGTCGACCGCTTCGTCCTCTTGATCGGTCTTGTGCTTGCCGGCAACGGGCTCTGCTCCCTTGTCACGAGACAACACCGACGGCCCGTGTGGCGTCGCTTGGCCAGCGCGCGCTCTCTCTTTGCTCAGCCTACTCAACACGACGGCGTCTACTACCTAGACCCAGCATCTTCGGCGCTCAATGGCATCCTCGTTTGGCACACGAGCGACAGGGTTCTTGCCCTCGACGTCAAGCTCTGGTGCACCTTTGCCATACCAGCACCACGCCGCAGTCGACTTGGTGGGCTCGCCGTCGCGTGGCCTCTCCTTGCGTGACGAGTCACATCGACCGGTGTCATGACCTATCATGGCTTGGATAGCGCCAAGTTGCTGACTTACTCACAACACTTGCCATCAACGCACGGTGACGTGGCACGCTCTGAGGTCAGACATCGATGCCATCAGAGAAGACGGACGAAGACTCAAATTCTGCCACGAGCGCCGCAACGACCAGCTGCTGCCGCGTCGGCGTGATGGAACCTGCGACGCCCTTGGCCGCAAGACATATCGACGTCGACGATGGCAGGCCAA